CCTGTGTTTCCACTGCATGATGCTTTCAGATGCCTCTGGCCCTCCCTGCAGTGAGGCCGTGCATCCCCACAGCTGCACATGTGCCTCTGGCCGTCCCTGCAGTGAGGCCGTGCATCCCCATGGTTGCACTCTGCACGACATCCCTCAGTCAGGTGAGGGTACTGTGGATGCAGTGTAGCGACCACAGTTTCATCTGACAAAAAAGGCAGAATAATGGTTGGATGTGTCTGCCTGCTTGACCGACGTGGATGCACGGCAATCTTGGGAGTCTTTCTTGAAAAGGCGCCTGGTCATAGGAGGGGTCTCTTGGGGCTCTTGTTCCAGGTACACCCCCGTGGGCCGCTCCTTTTTCACCGCGTCTGAGGGCTGCTCTAACCCTCTTGGTGGGGGCCGAGAAGTGTGGTTTGGCTTCCATCAGTCTGTCCGACCTTCTCTTTGGAAAATGATGCTAAATATTGACGGTAAGCAAGCCCCAGGCTTTGTGGTGAGATGGGGCCAGGGCTTGGGGCAGGCCCGTGTGGTCCCCTGCACACGTGGCCTCTGTCTGGCCCGGGGATGCTGTGTCCCACCTGCCTGTTAGCTTTGGGCAGTGGTTCTCAGGCTTGACCCTGAGCTGCCTGCAAGGCCCACTCCAGACATGGTGGCTCAGGTGCTACGATGGGTGGAGGGATCTGCGTGGGACAAGTTCCCAGATGCCATGGGCAGGGCTGGGCTTTCTTGAGGGTGGTGAGTAGACCTCTCACTGCTAGGTCCCTGTTTATCTCGTGTATGCATCTTCGGCCAGGTGGGCCTGAGCGCAGCACAGCTGATCAGAGGTGGCCAGTCTGGCAGCTTCTGGCTTGTCTCGCTCAGCTTCACGGGTGGCTCGCTCTTCCTAGGAGACTCCCAGCTGCTTCTCAGTGGTGGCCCACCCGAGGGAACGGAGACTTCCGAGAAGATAGAAAATCTAAGGCTTATGGTTATCACGATGTGTTGGGTTTGTTATTTTAAGCCTAGTTTTATTCATGGAGGGTGACTTTATCTTTAGACCCCAGCAGCCTCTTACATCGCCCTTCCGACCAGAGGGAGGGTCAGGCAGCCTGTGACCGGGTGCAGGCCCCACCTCTGGCTCGGTCCCGCCCCTGAGGCTTGGCGGTGACTCTGCAGTTACTGAGAATAGGGGCCCTGTGCCCTCCTGCCTGGCCTGCAGCAGGCACCTGGGGGCTGTCAGGGGGCAGACGGGGGGTGGGGGCACCATTTGCCGGACCCTACTTCATGCTCTTCTGTCTCACCCTCTCTCTCTCTCTCTCCCCCCCACCTACAGTCTCAGCAACAGCGTTTTATAAGGCACAGCCAGTAATTGAATTTGTTTGTGAAGTTTTGGATTTTAAAAGTATTGAAGAACAACAAAAACCTCTGACAGATTCCCAAAGGGTAAAGTTTACCAAAGAAATCAAAGGTAACTAACTGCCTGGTGTAGTGGGCCAAAGGCCGAGGGCCACAAGGCCGTGCCCAGCCTGCCCTCCCTGCGCACAGGAGCCCTGCTCCCATGCAGGTTCCTAAGGGGCATGGAGGTGGCGGGAGAAGGTAGCCATCAGATGGTTTAGCAGGAAGATGGATCACACCCGTTTCAGAGCAGAATCATCACACTCCAAATAAGTGTCTTTCTGTGCAGCAGGAGTAGGGTGGTGACCAGCAGTGTCCAAGTCAAGGATTCTGTGCCTGCGGAGCAGGGTGGTTATCGTCTGTAGCTCATGGCATTCATTTTAGAATGAACAGTGTACTTTTATGCCTTGCCATGTAACCCCACAGCCTGGCAAGGTCTGTGCTCACCAAGCTTGACTCCACTCGTACAAGCTCAGTCAGGGCTCAGTCCCTGGCTCAGTCCCTCTGCCTGTCTGCAGAGAGTGGATGCCAAAGCCATGCCCCTCTGCACCTGTCCCTTTCTGAGGGCTTCTACAGCTAAAAATAGTCCTGGATGGAGCCGGTGGCACGGCAACAGACATTGTGCCCACGGCCGGACCCACATGGTCTCCCTCATTCTGGAGAACAGTGTCCTGACTCTGTCTGGCCCTGTATTTTTGGGGTGTAGGGCATCCCTGTGGGTGAGGTGGGCCCGGCCCGAGTCTCACCATCTCCAGGCAAGACTAAGAACGCCCTGGCCCTGGGGCGTGGCTCTCCTGAAACAGCTGGCAGTGGCCTGTGCTGTGGGCCGGGTGGGTCCTTCATGCTGAAGCTCCGCCGCTCTGTGTCGCCAGGTCTAAAGGTGGAGATCACGCACTGCGGGCAGATGAAGAGAAAGTACCGCGTCTGCAACGTGACCCGGCGGCCCGCCAGCCACCAGACGTAAGCAGCCTTCTCTCAAACCCACACAGCTCCGACGTCACCGCCACTCCACTTCCCGCAGTCAGGAGTAGTGGCACTTCTGGAAAGGACTAGTTCATTCTAGTTTTCATATTCCAAAACTATCCCTTAGGCTCAGTAGATTCCAGACTTAACTGGAAAGAAAATAAATGCAATCCTTCCTCTGTGAGGTGGGCACCCGTTCGGTGGTTCCCTGTCAGTTTTCCTTCTTGTATTTCACAGACAAGACAGGGTCTTTTTTGTTTGCAGTCCTCTCAGAGCTGAGTGGGTGCTGGGGAGAAGTGGGGGGTAGACGCTGCCCAGATTCACAGGCGCAGCCTGACCTGACTCCCAGTGGGGCATCTCCCAGTGCCATGGGCTCTGCCAGTGCTTCAGCAGGGTGGCAGCTGGATGCGCGGAGTGACTAGCTCGCCACAAGGCTGGGCATGGCCTTAGGTCATGTGTGTTCATTTGGGGGGAGAAGTGATGGTCTGGGTTCCTGCGCCCCATCTTGACATCTCCTGGACCCAGGGAGTCCTGTTTGTTTAATCCATGGTCGCTCTGTGGGCAGGGCCGGCTCTTTTACTGGCCACGGGGGATACCCTATCAGGCAGGAGGCTGATAAGCTATGCCTGGTCTCTGTGGCCTCCTGCCTGGATGAGTCTGCGGGGATTTCCCAGCCACCTGGGGAGAGTCAAGGAATTGGCAGGTGTTCCCTGGCCAGGGGGCACTGTCCTTCGCCCTGGCCAGGCCGAGAGATCCAGTGCCTGTGCAGGATCACCGGTGCACTCGCCCATCTCTGCATGCAGGGCTTTCTTGCCTCAACCTTCCTGCTTGTGGCCAGTGATGCCCAAGTGGCCCTTTCTTTACCCTGTCCCAGAAGGTTTAGGTCCTGTGGGGCTGGCACTTGGGGCGGCCAAGTAAATGACTCTGAGAGTCAGTGTAGTCGTGCTTGGCTGGATTTGCCTTCATTTACCCTGAATCCCTCATGTGCACCTGTAGGTGTGTGTAGTTTGTGATTATTGCATATTATGTACATGGAGGTAGTTGTTTCCCAACTCCAGGAATAAAATGCAACTTTAGGGACTCAGGAATATTCCAGACAACCCAGAGGGCATTATTTGGTTCGGACCCCTGGAAAGTGCCCCACCATGCACCCCCTTTGACACCTTATTCAGCCCTAAGGAAGAAAACCGTGGAAGCCCTAGTGAGCTGGCAAGGGCAGGACTTGGCTGCCTGTCCTTAGGGGCCCTGCAAAGTCCCTGCCCTGAGCCACTTCTTTGCCTCTTTAGGTTCCCACTGCAGCAAGAGAGCGGGCAGACGGTGGAGTGCACAGTGGCCCAGTACTTCAAGGACAGGCACAAGCTGGTTCTGCGCTACCCCCACCTCCCATGTTTACAAGTTGGACAGGAGCAGAAACACACCTACCTTCCCCTGGAGGCAAGTGACTGCGCTCTGCAGGGCCCGTGGGCCTAGACCAGTGGCAGAGGCCCAGGTCCAGAGTTCACCGTCCCTGCCACGGGGGGGGGCCTCAGGCAGGTGGACAGACTCACCCCTCCGCTTCCCCATCAGTAAAACGTGTGCAGTGACACCTGTAGGATCGGTGTGAAGACCAGGACAGCACGTCCCTGGCACAGAGAGGAGAATGCTCAGGAAGGAGACTGTTTCTTCCTTTGTTTCTTGTCTAAAACGTATTTCTTATTTGGAAAATACTTGCCTGGGAAAAGAGCGAATGCTGGCATTGAGGCACGAACGAGTTGCAGCTCTTTTCTGTCATTAAGTGAGCACTTACTCAGCTATTCACATATCTAGGCCTCCATTTGCTTTTTCCTGAGCTGTGGTCCAGAAGGGAGACTCCCTTTCCCCCTGCAGAGTCTGAGGACAGAGACCTCAGAGCCCAGCATCCGGGGCACAGCTCGCCTGTGCTGGCCATGCTCTCGGAGGCTGCGTCTTGTTACCAGTGTGGGCCCTGGGCCGCTCGGTCACACTGAATCAGCCGGGGCCGCTGAGCGGCGCCTCCGGTGAGCTCTCCCTGGTGGGTTTCAGGACCGGTCACCACCGATACCTGCGTGGTGCTTCTCAGTTTATGGATAAGGAGCGCGTGTCGTGGCAGCTGCGGGGCGCCAGCCTCAGAGCCTTGCCCCCCCGCAGAGTGCTGACGCTGTCTGCGCATCCCCTTCATAGGTCTGTAACATAGTGGCAGGACAGAGATGCATAAAGAAGTTAACCGACAATCAGACCTCAACCATGATCCGAGCAACTGCCAGGTCCGCACCCGATCGGCAGGAAGAGATCAGCAAGCTGGTGAGCGCTCGTCCCCGGGGCGGCCCGGGGGGCCAGGACGGGCTGCACAGGGCAAGGGGGCTGCACACGCAGCTTCTGGTCAGCAAGCTGGTGAGCGCTCGTCCCTGGGGCAGCCCCGGGGGGCCAGGACGGGCTGGCTGCACGGGGCAAGGGGGCTGCACACACAGCTTCTGGTCAGCAAGCTGGTGAGCGCTCGTCCCCGGGGCGGCCCTGGGGGGCCAGGACCGGCTGCATGGGGCAAGGGGGCTGCACACACAGCTTCTGGGAAGGAGGGGCCGCCTCTCACTGCCTTTCTTTTTCCCTTTCCAAGATGCGAAGTGCAAGTTTCAATACAGATCCGTATGTTCGTGAATTTGGAATCATGGTCAAAGACGAGATGACAGATGTGACTGGGCGGGTCCTGCAGCCACCCTCCATCCTCTACGGGGGCAGGGTAGGTGCAGGGCCAGGCGCGCAGCGTGTGTGGGCATGTGGTTGGCGGTGGTGCAGCCGCGTGGGGCCCGTCAGCATGGCTCCGTCCCCCGGAGGTGTAGGCCACAGGCAAGGCGAAGGGCGCTACTCCAGTCTGAGCCTGCAAAAGTTGTAGGGCTTTGAGGGACTGAGTTTCCTCAGCCTTTTTTGAAGGTTTCAGTATTACCCTTTATCTCTTCAAAAGATCGTTTTTAGTATCCCATCAAAATTTCAAAATTGCCTCTTTGTGTAATGGGTGCCCAGGAGCTCACACCCTCTCCGGCTATGACCTTTGCCTGGAGTATTTGGCAGCAGGCAAGCAGGCAGGCTCTGGGCTGTGTGTGTCTGCCCGTTTAACCTCCAGCTCCTACTGCAGGGTGATGCAGCGGGCCCTGCGGAGCTCTGGACAAGGGTCTCTGTTGCTCCCTCTGGGGCTGCCCTCCAGACGGCAGAGCGTCACTGGGGCCCTTGCTCACTAGTGACACCGCTGGACGTGTCCGCCCAACTTCACGCCTTACGCGTGACGGAGTGTTGCTCTGGCTGCCAGGCCTGCAGCACAGTTTGTAGGGTTTTGCCCTTTCTAACTGTAACACGTAAGCTCTATTTCTAAAATGTTTCTCAGTGCAAAAGGGACGAAGAATTATGGGAAAGAGTCTTTTTTCCCCAGCTCTGAGTTGCTCTTTCCGGAAGCAGTTGGTGTCATCTTTTTTCTTTGTGAAGTCAGCCAGGGATTTTTCACAGATTTTTTCACCCCTTCTTAGGAAAATAATAGTATATTAAATGCCCTTCTGAGCCGTGCTTGTTCTGACTTAGCGTTCTCTCTCAGGGCCCAAGGAGGTTCTGGGGGTGTGTGGCGGGTGGCTCGTTCTGTTCACTGCATAGTATTCCCGTGTACAGCGTCCCTGTCCTGCCAGTGGGTGTTGGGTTGCGTCCCATTGTCTGCAGGAGGACTTCTGAGTGAGGCCTCTTGGCTGTGTCTCAGCCCTTTTATGCACCTGCTACAACCAGACACCTGTAATCCTCTGTGCAACCCCATAAGGAAGAGCGTGATTCCCCTTCTGCGAGTGAGCCAAGGGACACCCTGCCTGGTGAAGATTTATGTGCCCTTGCCTGGTAAAACCAAGATCGCAAATCCAGTGTCATGTCTCTGTCCCCAGACACATCTGTTTCATCGACTTTCTACCCCTTAGTAAACAGAGCAGTCGTCTAAAAAACAAATAGCTCTTGTTATCTGACCTGGCAAAATGTTAGATTTGTAGAGATTAAAAATGTGTGACGCTTTTAAATGAATAAATTTTCCAGATTTCTGAAGCATTTTGATGGGCATGAACACTTCACAGACCCTGCCCCACCCATTGTCCACTGTTGGAGCCAAACATTAAATGCCCTCAGGGGACCTTTGGCAGTGTCTGGAGACTGGGATCCGGCGGGCAAACACTGCTAGCATCCTGTGGTCACTGGGTCAAAACGCCAGTGGTGCTGAGGCTGAGAAACACATGCAGGAAAAAGAGCCCATCCCTATCAAAACTGTGTGTTTGTGTGTGTGTGTGTGCGCACGCGTGTGTGCGTGTTTGTGCACGCGCACACATGCGTGCAACTTAGTCTGGAACACCAGGCTGGTGATGGTGGCCATCTCTTAAAAAAAAAAAGCTGGTAGGAACAGGGTAGTAGTTATAAAAATATAGGAAACAAAAGCATTCATTTGTGTAATACTTGATTTTTAAAATAGGCTTATATTGGGAAGAAAAAAATGTTTCTGCCATAAACAATTCTGCAGAGTAAATGACAGCAACTCAGGTGCAGCCCTGTCCGTGAGAGGTGACCCCAGCCTGGGATTCACAGCCCTGCCCTGCTCCACACGGCTCTTCCTGGCCACCCCTTGTCCCCAGGCTCACTTGAAGACGATTCAGAGATTCCTTAGGTGATGGTGTCAATGGCAACATTAGGTCAATCAGTGTATGACGGCTGCTTCCCTTCCCTCCCTGAACAGTGTGGGCAGTGGTGCAGGGCATGGAGGGGACAATAGGCCAGCCCAGCCACCTTGCCACTCCTTGGCTGCCTCCTTGGTAATGGAGGGGGCAAAATAATGACGGCATTTTGTAGAACAGGACCCCTCCCTGTAGCCTGGCAGGCACTTCCGTCCCTGTGGGCTGCCTGAGAGGCTGGTGCGGGGCCCTGGCTCCTCCCTGCGCTCCTCGACCCCTGTCCTCCCGCCTGTCCTCTCTTCACACCTCCCTCCCTCTGCCCGCCCGGCTGGCCGTCTGCCCGTTCTCTACCCACCCATCTGTCCTGCAGACAGCTGACCCCCTGCGGTGCTGGGCAGCCCAGAGATGGGAGGTGCACACAGGCTCAGTTCTGAGCCTCAGGAGCCGCCATCTAGTCGGGGGCCAGCGGCAGTAGGGGGATGACGACATCCAAGCACAGAGGACCATGTTCGCCACTTTTTCTGACTCTAAACTTGCTGTTCACAGAATAAAGCGATCGCCACCCCTGTCCAGGGCGTCTGGGACATGAGGAACAAGCAGTTCCACACGGGCATCGAGATCAAGGTGTGGGCCATCGCATGCTTCGCCCCCCAGCGCCAGTGCACCGAAGTCCACCTCAAGTAAGGCCGCTCAAGGGACAGGAGCTCCGGTCCCCTGTGGGCAGTGACAGAGTGGCTGCAGGGAAAGCCTGTGCCCTGGGCTGGGGGGGCCGGGTAGCAGGCTTTCCCTGCTCGTGACGGCTTACGTGGGCCAGGACTCTGTGTGCTGCGTTTCTTAGGCCCATTTCTGAGTGAGTTTGGAGACGTAGCACAGATCATATGAGAAACAAAACACTAAATGATCAAGTTTAAATATTAGAAGTGAAAGAAAATAGCATTCAGTGAGCTGGCATTTTTTTAAAGGACGCTTTGGTCGTGTATCCTGTCCCAGCCCAGCCCACCGAGGCGTGAGGCCCTGCGACAGCAGCTCCGTGAGCAGCTGGTGCTGTCGCTCATGTCCTGGGTCGGGCGGCCTCCCCTTGGCCCGCGGCCTCCCGCCTGTCCCATCTCAAACCCAGCTGGGAAAGGAAAGCTTTAGCTCCCGCCTCGGGTGGGGGCTGGAGGACCGCTGCGAAGCCCAGGAAGTACAGCAGATGAGCATTCTTGGCAGAGGACGGCGCTGGGAAGCTGCGTGCTCAGGAAGTTCTCGGGCGCTGACGGCGAGCGGCTGCCTTTGCTCCGCACCACCAGCACGGCGAGCTGGCATTCACTTGGCCGCAGGCACAGAGGGGGCTTGGGAAACAAAGTTGACTGGAGTGTGAGCACAAGCGGCCTCTACCCTGTGTTTTCTGTCCTTGTCCCCCTCATTTCCTTTTAGCCTGGGGCTCAGTGGTCCTGAGACACATCTCGTGCAGGTAGAATTGCAGATACACATGTGTTTCTTTAAAAACTGTCTTGTTGGGCCCGAGTATCCTAACCTTTATTGTAGAAGGCAACGTGATTATTATTCCTAAACTTAAAACAGGCTGTTGACCTGTGTCAGTGCCTCTCCCGTGACTTCAGGAGGCTCGTGGTAGCAGCCGGTGTCACTCTGGCTGTTGTTTTCTCCCGTGATTATGTATCCAAGTCCAGGCTGTGTACCCATGAGAAAAGCAGGGAAACACATCAAGGGGATTGCCAGCTCCCAGCTTCCCTCGGTGCCGTGACGCTCGGCGTTCTTGGAGCAGGTGTGCGGGCTGGGTCTGCGCCAGAACCCGGGGGCTGCCTGGCCTGCCGAGTGGGGGCAGCCACTCCCTGCACTGCTTATTCCTGCCTGCTGGGATGTCACCGCTGCGGTAGCAGTGTGGATACGATTCGAAGCCTTCCATTTTTTCATGACAAAATAGCTGTAAGGGCCTTTCCTTCAACCTACGTGCTTGCTTAGCACGTGTGACCTTCTTCACAAGCTAACATGTTGACATGGCTCTGTCCAGGACGGCAGCTTACATTCTGAACTCATTGAAAATGGGTCTGGTTGTGTTCACACTGAGCCCTCTACTTAGGGCCTCCGGTTGGTCTGAACTCTTGGACAGCATTCAGGCATGTCTGGGTTCATGGACCTTCTCCTTCAGGTCCTTCACGGAGCAGCTCAGAAAGATCTCGAGAGATGCTGGGATGCCGATCCAGGGCCAGCCGTGCTTCTGTAAATATGCGCAGGGGGCGGACAGCGTGGAGCCCATGTTCAGGCACCTGAAGAACACGTACGCCGGTCTTCAGCTCGTGGTGGTCATCCTGCCTGGCAAAACCCCGGTGTATGGTAGGCCTTTGGTGGTCTTGCTGGCCTTTGGAAGCTGTTGTGAGCTCTGTGGGTGTTCGTGCAGCCTGAGCCTTTTGAGTTTGTTCCTGGCCCAGTTGTGAATTAAGCAAGGCCGGGTGGTTTCTGACCGCTGCCCAGCCATTGCTCGGCCACTCTCTTTAGCCTTGTCTTAAGACCACAGCTCTGGAAGCCGGCACATGTGCTGCCACTTGTCTGCTGCCCGACACAAATGTTGGCTGGGTGGAGGACCATCCATTCGAGGCACACAGATCCATTGAGGGGCGTCACCAGCTCCTGTGTCTGCTCCTGTGCCTTCTCAGTGCCTGCCTCAGGATTCTCTGAAAGTTCATCAAAGTCCTTTATGCCAGAAGGGCAGTTGCACGTTCCTTCAGCTAACATGTGATGGCACCCAGGCCCTGGAGACACAAAGATTAGGTCCAGATATGCATTCAGGGTGACGGGAGGTGTGTGGACAGGTGATGTTGTTGTAGTGGGGGAGGTGTGTAGGCAGGTGATTGTAGTGAGGGGAGGTGTGTGGACATGTGATTATAATGCAGGGGGAGGTGTGCAGACAGGTGATTACAGTGAGTGGGGAGGTGTGTGGAGAGGTGATTGTTGTGAGTGGGAGGTGTGTGGAGAGGTGATTGTAGTGAGTGGGAGGTGTGTGGAGAGGTGATTGTAGTGGGGGAAGTGTGTGGAGAGGTGATTGTAGTGAGTGGGAGGTGTGTGGACAGGTGATTGTAGTGAGTGGGAGGTGTGTGGAGAGGTAATTGTAGTGGGGGAAGTGTGTGGAGAGGTGATTGTAGTGAGTGGGAGGTGTGTGGACAGGTGATTGTAGTGGGGGGAGTGTGTGGACAGGTGATTGTAGTGAGTGGGAGGTGTGTGGATGGGTGATCGTAGTGGGGGAGGTGTGTGGACAGGTGATTGTAGTGAGTGGGAGGTGTGTGGACAGGTGATCGTAGTGGGGGAGGTGTGTGGAGAGGTGATTGTAGTGAGTGGGAGGTGTGTGGACGGGTGATCGTAGTGGGGGAGGTGTGTGGAGAGGTGATTGTAGTGAGTGGGAGGTGTGTGGAGAGGTGATCGTAGTGGGGGAGGTGTGTGGAGAGGTGATTGTAGTGAGTGGGAGGTGTGTGGAGAGGTGATTGCAGTGGGGGAGGTGTGTGGGCAGGTGACTGTAGTCTGGGGGGAGGTGTGTAGTAGACAGGTAGTTACACTGCGGGGGAAGGTGTGTAGGCAGGTGATCACAGTGAGGGGGGAGTCGTGTAGGCAGGTGACTTTAGTCCGGGGGATGCTGTCCGAGGCCTGTTGAAGGCACTGCAGGAACCCAGAGGCCTCCGGGGGAGGGGGGTTTGGCAGGAGGACCTGGGGTGTCAGCTGCTGCGGGGCAAAGGCACAAGAGTGTGTGGTGGTGTCAGCAGGCCTCCTGTGTAGGCGGCGACCGAGTACAGATCTGCAAAAGCCACAGTTCTCCTCTTGAAGTTAAACATGCAAAAAAAGACAGAGAAAGCCCCCAGCATTTTATCCTGGTAGTTTTGTCCCGGGGTCACCCTGTTGGCACGGGCCTGGCCAGGGAGCAGTTGACCAGTTGCTTCAGGAAAGAATCCAGAGTGGAGAAGGTATGGGCTAGGCAGCCCTGTGATGTCAGATTTGCATTTGCTGAGGATTTTGAGGTTACCAGTGTTCTTATTTTTAACTTCTCAAGCATTTGCTTGCAACTCCGAGCACTGTGATAGAAGGTGGCATTCCTAGTAAGGAATGCCAGACGCTCAGCTCCAGCCTGGCTCCGCCCGTTAGCGCCCTGCTACTCTGGAAAAGGCCCTGAGATGGTCTTCTTTCCAGAATGAGGAGTGAGCCGGCTTGCCTGCCGCCCTCAGGAAGGAGACACCTACAGGTCCTGCAGGCACAGGCCATGCTGGGGCCAGAATCCGAACCGGGGGCCTCTGGCTTCCCTCCACCTGCCAGTCACCCTCTCCCGAGGCTGGGCTGCAGGTGGGCTGGGTAGAAAGCCTAAGGTGGCTGCTGTGGCTGCGCACTTGCGTGTGCCCCTGCGATTCCTGCTGGTGGGCAGGCTGCTGGGCCAGCTGAGGGAGGGGTGCCAGCCTGGGCTGCCGTGTGCATGTCCTCTGTGCTCCACAGCCGAGGTGAAGCGCGTGGGAGACACGGTGCTGGGGATGGCCACACAGTGCGTGCAGATGAAGAACGTTCAGAGGACCACACCGCAGACCCTGTCCAACCTCTGCTTGAAGATCAATGTCAAACTGGGAGGTGTGAACAACATCCTGCTGCCCCAGGGGAGGTGAGGCCAGCCCTTCTGCCAGGTGTGCGGCAAGCTTTTGATTGCCAGGGGGATGGGTCTGGTGTGCAGACAGACAGTGTCCATCCACCTGTGCCAGGCACCGTCCTGGACACAGCAGATGAAAGGCGAGCCAAACAGCAGGGAGGTCACCCCGAACAGCAGGAGCAGGGGCCAGAGGCGCCGCAGGCCAGAGCGCGCCCTGCCCTTCCCGGGCTGCCGGTGCCGGGAGCGGGGCCCCTGAGACCACAGAGCTCCACGCGGAAAGGCGCTGTTGATGGGTCCCAGGGCGGGGCCCGCGTCCTGGCCAGGGGCTGCAGGCTGGGGGGAAGGTGGCGAGGGTCTGCAGCACCCTCCGGGGCCTCCTGAGCCTGGCCTGCAGCCCTGGGTGCTGGAGGACAGGACCAAGGTTGGCTGTTCCCCCCCCCCCGCCCCCGCCCCGAGGGGCAGCTAGCCTTAGGAGGCAGGAAGAGGTCTCTCCGGTGATGGGCACTGTTGAGGAAATTTTATCGTTGAAGAAACCCTGTGACTCTTAGCATTTGAATGGCAAACACTGGTGAAAACAGATTCCTGAACACATTAACTGTGGAGTGGGGCAAACTGCCCCTGTGCAGAGATGTCACACAGCCCTTGCCTCTTTGGTTTATCTGGAAAATAGGCGTTAATAAGCACCAGCTGTGTGCAGAGGCCTCCTGGGGTTGCCTGACACTCGCACACCTGCAGAGCTTCTGATGAGCGGGTCCCGACGAGGGCCCAGGAATTCACATTCCTCACAAGTTGCTGAGGGGTGCGGCTGCTGTTCCAGGGACCGCACTTGGAGAACTGGAGAGTGGCGTCGCAGTGACGTGGGAAGGACCTGCGTTGAGAGTCTGTAGTGTCGGACTTGCATCCTGGCCCCACAGTGAGGGGGTCACTGGACTCGTGCGGCTCACGGGCGCAAGCGAGGGCCGATCAGGGGCAGGGGGCGCGCTGGAAGCGCTGTTCACTCCGTCGACAGGTCCTGTGTGTGGTGAGCGCTCACGTGTGCCAGGAGTTCGGACCATAGCAGTGAGCACAGGGCCCAAAGTCCTAGCCTTCCAGAAAGTGGGAAGCCAGAAAGGAGGGTCCTCTCAATACTTCGATGTGACTTCACAGGTGAGCAGCAGGGGTGCAGCGGAAGGGACAGGAGCTCAGGAGGGTGAGGAGCTGGACCTTACATGGGGAGGGTCTCCCAGAGAAGGTGGTTCTGAGCAGGCGGCCAGTGCAAGGACATGACCATGTGGGTGCCGTGCAGAGCATTCTAGAGGGCACAGGCCTGGGGTGCTCCAGGGCAGGACTGAGGGCAGAGGCTGCTGGCAGGGCCTGGGGCCCCTCCTGCACAGGGTATAGCCTTCGGAGGGTCACAGGGAAGATGTGGTCTTCCTGACCTGCTCTGAAAGTCCACTCCATCTCTGGACGGAGTGGGGACCGGGAGGCTCTTGCATTACGGCGGGATGAGTGGGAGGCGCCCTGAGACAGGGATGTTTTGAAGGGGAACGTGGAGCTTGCCGACCAGTTGGGTCTGGGCTGTGAAAGATGACGGCTCTTGGTCTGGGCCCCTGGAGAGAGAAGACGGCATTCGAAGGGAGGTGGTGGTGGGCGAAGAGGAGATGGGAGTCTGGGGTCAGGGGTCCGTGTTTAGGGCTCCCCACTGGAGGAGGGGTATGTAAAGCCACAGGTCAGGACGATCCCTCGGGGCAGGGAGTAGGCAGAAAGGATGTCCAAGCTTTCACCCCGGGGGAGTCCAGGGTTGGGAGGTCACAGAGGCGAGGAGCCCGGCCTGAGAAGTTGGGGGAGAGGCAGGTGGGTCCTGGCCCCCCAGGGGCCCTGTGTCTTGTGTCATGTGCTGCTGACAGGCCAGGTATGAGGAGGTCTGAGGCCCCACCGTCCATCTAGCCGGCGGCGGGCAGGTGGCCGGGGACATTACAGAGAGGAGTCTCGTTGCCATGGCAGCGTGCAGCTGGGTTGGGAGGAGCCCAGGCATGATGGGGACTCAGTGAGGAGGTTCCAGGGAGCTGGGGCAGTGAGGGGGCGGCGTCTGCAGGCAGGTGTGCTTTTGCTTGCTTATGGTGGGGGCCACAGCTGCACAGTGGCTGCTCCTGGGAGTGCTGGACACTCTCAGGGAGGGCAGCACAGGTGGGGGCCACAGGGTCGGGGCTTCAGGGCGGGGCCCCGTGCTTCTGCCCTGGCTGCTGCTTTCTGGGGCCTGGGAGGTCGGCGCTTGAGGTCTGCAGCAGGTGGCTGGTAAGACGCAGCCCCGGGGCCCCTGAGGCCGGTCAGGAAGGGGAGGCAGGGCTAGTCCGCAGGTCTGTGGGCAGTGCCTTCTGCAGGCCCGCCCCGTACGGAGGCAGTGCAGGTGCTGGTGGTGCTCGTGGTGATGGTGACCAGGGAGTACCCCAGGGCTGTGCCTCCTCCAGCCAGCAGCTTCAGGGACCCCCAGGTGTGGTTGGAACCATGCTGGAGACTGACGGGGAAACTCATCCACATTTTGTGGGAACTGTCATGTGGTTTACATGCTGGAAACACATTCCTTTCCTTCCCTAGGGCCTGGTGGTGGCAGCTGGGGGTACGGGCACTGGGAGAGGCGGCCCTCTGGTGGGAGGCCCTCTGAGGTCACCCTCCCGTGGAGTCCACCTCCTGGGGGGCTGGCGGCTCCTGACCAGGAAGAACAAGACCCCCTAGAGTAATAGCACCGGCACCTGCCAGTGTGTGTGACAGGCCAGGCCTTTTGAAAGCACTTGCTGTGTGTAAGCTCGTGCTGTTCTCACAGCAGCCGTGGGAGGCCAGTGCCATTACTGTCTCCACTTCTCAGCAGAGAAAAGTGAGGCTCAGAGAGAGTAAGCCCCAGGGTGGGCAGCTGGCTGCTGCTGGGACCTGCAGGCCGGCTAAGAGCCTGTGCCCCCGGCCATGATGCTGTGCGTGCCGCCTGCTCAGGAAGGCACTGCAGGGTCCAGGCAGCAATGAGAGGCTCGTGGGAAAGCTTAGAGAGGTGCTTCTCAGCCGGGGTGGCTCTGCCACCCAGGGTTGTGTGGCAAGTCGACACACTTTGGGCAGCTGCTGGAGGCTGGTGGGTAGAGAGCAGGGGTGCTGCCGAGCACTGTGGAGCGTATGGGCTGTGTCCTCCCCAGTGAAGGATGGTCAGCCTGAGCGTGCGCTGTGCAGAGGGTGGCACGTGGAGCATGGCTGCAGGCCAAGGTGGGGCTCTGCGTCTGCGTGACTGCTGGAGATCACGCACAGAGGGGCCCTCACTCCTGCACCCAGCCTCGCCCGCCTGGCCGCTCCCGTTCAGTCCACACACTCCAGTTCCCACACGGGGTCATCTGAGGCAGGTCTTAGACCTGGTATCGTTTTGTTTGTAAGGTTTTCTGTGTGTGTCATTAACAGATAAAGAATATTCAAAAATGTACATACAGAACCCTTCCAAACGGTTGTGGTACCCGAGGCCCAGGTGGCATCCGCAGGCCTTGCTTCTAACGCCTCGCTCCCTCCGCAGGCCTCCTGTGTTCCAGCAGCCGGTGATCTTCCTGGGGGCGGACGTCACCCACCCCCCTGCCGGGGACGGGAAGAAGCCTTCCATCGCTGCAGTGAGTGCCAGCACCCCTACTGGGCCCTCTGTTGGTAACATCCTGCCCTCTCTGGGGCCCACACCCTCTTGAGCTGCCGGGGGGAGGGGACATGGTCCCTTTGCAGCCATGTCATTGTGGTGTACTAAACTGCATGTTGGCGAAGTCCAGGTTTGATGGTAACTAGGTATCGGGGGCACTAGGATGGATAAGTGGGTCCGAGGAGCAGTAAGAGCAGGTGAGTTAGCACCTTTAGAACCCAGCAGACCAGACCAGACCTGTCAGCAGGAAAGGCCTTCTCGCCCTTCAGGGCCTCGCCTGCAGCTCAGGTGACAGCTGAAGGCTTTGCGGCCCACCGGTAGGATGCTGCGGCAGGTTCTGTGTGGGCGTGCTATATTTCTGGTCTTAAACATTTTCTATTTTTTGTTATGAAGTGCTAAACGTAAAAAAGGACACAGTCCAGAGTTAATTGCTGCCCTTCCCTGGACTGCACCTGTGAGTCCTATCTGGGTGAGCAGTGGGGGCCTTTGCTGCACGGGCCCTCGCTACTCTGAGCACCTCTGCTTCACCGGCTGGCTGTGCCCCCCTTGAAGGCTGAGCCTCGCCTCGCACTGCGGCGGGCTGTACTCAGGAGGCCAGTGTAATTTTTGGCCTTGTGCTCAGGGGAATCCCATGAGCATGTGCTTGGCATAGTGTGGACTTTAAATGGGGCTGCAGAGCAAAGTGTGTTACCTCAAGGTCGCCTTTGGCAGGAGACTCCGCTGCTCTGCAGCCAAGTGGAGGGAGGGATTGTCAGCCTTGACACTGTTCGTCCCTCGTGTCCCCAGCAGGGGCTGTTGGGGTCCTGTCTGCCCTCGTCTCTTCCCTCTTCTGTCTGAAACTGCAGAGGATAGCTTGTCTGTCCTGCCTCCTCACTCCCTCCAACCAATCAGACAATAATGTTGGCATTTTCTGAGCACCTGTCCCCTGCCAGAGTCTAGACCAGGTGTGTAACTGCATCGTCTCTAACCTTATGAGGTCAGTATTAGTTTCCCCATTTTACGCAGGAGGCAGTCCAGAAAAGCTGAGCTCAGATGCTCAGGAGGGGCAGCAGAAAACACAGCGCAAGGCTGCCTGAGGGTCAGGGCTGAGCTCCAAGCCGGTGTTTTTCCCGGGCCATTGAGGGTGATGGGGACTCACCACCCCCATCAGGTTCCGCATGTGGGGGCTTTAAGCTCTGAGTCCCCTCGATCATAACGGCACCTCGTAGAGTGGCCACAGACACATACTCACCCCTAAAGTGTCACAGATGACAGTCTGGGGGCGCAGGCCGGGCAGCCCAGTGCTTCTCTGCAAGGTGCCCCAGATCCCCAGAGGCAACTGTCCCCTGGCAGGGAGGCCGGAGCACCCCAGCAGGTACAAGTGGGTCCCAACAGAGGATGCGTGTCTGAGTTATTCTGGGGCCACACTCTATCTAGCCAGTACCACGTAGTGTAATTCCTCCCACTCAGCCCAGCAATCAGTTATCCCCACTTGTACACACAGGCCCACCTCGTCTTACTGGGCCTCATTGTGTTGGCTCTGCAGAGACTGTGGTTTGACAAATTGAAGATTTGTGGCAACCCTGCATCCAGCAACTTTGTCACCTGTTTTCTCCAACAGCATTTGCTCACTTCTGTTTTGCAGCATTTGTAATGTTTTCATTATTTCTGTTTGTTAAGGTGGACTGTGATCTGTGGTTAAGACTTGCTAGTCCGCAGGTCTGTGGGCAGTGCCTTCTGCAGGCCCGCCCCGTACGGAGGCAGTGCAGGTGCTGGTGGTGCTCGTGGTGATGGTGACCAGGGAGTACCCCAGGGCTGTGCCTCCTCCAGCCAGCAGCTTCAGGGACCCCCAGGTGTGGTTGGAACCATGCCGGAGACTGACGGGGAAACTCATCCACATTTTGTGGGAACTGTCATGTGGTTTACATGCTGGAAACACATTCCTTTCCTTCCCTAGGGCCTGGTGGTGGCAGCTGGGGGTATGGGCACTGGGAGAGGCGGCCCTCTGGTGGGAGGCCCTCTGAGGTCACCCTCCCGTGGAGTCCACCTCCTGGGGGGCTGGCGGCTCCTGACCAGGAAGAACAAGACCCCCTAGAGTAATAGCACCGGCACCTGCCAGTTTGTGTGACAGGCCAGGCCTTTTGAAAGCACTTGCTGTGTGTAAGCTCGTGCTGTTCTCACAGCAGCCGTGGGAGGCCAGTGCCATTACTGTCTCCACTTCTCAGCAGAGAAAAGTGAGGCTCAGAGAGAGTAAGCCCCAGGGTGGGCAGCTGGCTGCTGCTGGGACCTGCAGGCCGGCTAAGAGCCTGTGCCCCCGGCCATGATGCTGTGCGTGCCGCCTGCTCAGGAAGGCACTGCAGGGTCCAGGCAGCAATGAGAGGCTCGTGGGAAAGCTTAGAGAGGTGCTTCTCAGCCGGGGTGGCTCTGCCACCCAGGGTTGTGTGGCAAGTCGACACACTTTGGGCAGCTGCTGGAGGCTGGTGGGTAGAGAGCAGGGGTGCTGCCGAGCACTGTGGAGCGTATGGGCTGTGTCCTCCCCAGTGAAGGATGGTCAGCCTGAGCGTGCGCTGTGCAGAGGGTGGCACGTGGAGCATGGCTGCAGGCCAAGGTGGGGCTCTGCGTCTGCGTGACTGCTGGAGATCACGCACAGAGGGGCCCTCACTCCTGCACCCAGCCTCGCCCGCCTGGCCGCTCCCGTTCAGTCCACACACTCCAGTTCCCACACGGGGTCATCTGAGGCAGGTCTTAGACCTGGTATCGTTTTGTTTGTAAGGTTTTCTGTGTGTGTCATTAACAGATAAAGAATATTCAAAAATGTACATACAGAACCCTTCCAAACGGTTGTGGTACCCGAGGCCCAGGTGGCATCCGCAGGCCTTGCTTCTAACACCTCGCTCCCTCCGCAGGCCTCCTGTGTTCCAGCAGCCGGTGATCTTCCTGGGGGCGGACGTCACCCACCCCCCTGCCGGGGACGGGAAGAAGCCTTCCATCGCTGCAGTGAGTGCCAGCACCCCTACTGGGCCCTCTGTTGGTAACATCCTGCCCTCTCTGGGGCCCACACCCTCTTGAGCTGCCGGGGGGAGGGGACATGGTCCCTTTGCAGCCATGTCATTGTGGTGTACTAAACTGCATGTTGGCGAAGTCCAGGTTTGATGGTAACTAGGTATCGGGGGCACTAGGATGGATAAGTGGGTCCGAGGAGCAGTAAGAGCAGGTGAGTTAGCACCTTTAGAACCCAGCAGACCAGACCAGACCTGTCAGCAGGAAAGGCCTTCTCGCCCTTCAGGGCCTCGCCTGCAGCTCAGGTGACAGCTGAAGGCTTTGCGGCCCACCGGTAGGATGCTGCGGCAGGTTCTGTGTGGGCGTGCTATATTTCTGGTCTTAAACATTTTCTATTTTTTGTTATGAAGTGCTAAACGTAAAAAAGGACACAGTCCAGAGTTAATTGCTGCCCTTCCCTGGACTGCACCTGTGAGTCCTATCTGGGTGAGCAGTGGGGGCCTTTGCTGCACGGGCCCTCGCTACTCTGAGCACCTCTGCTTCACCGGCTGGCTGTGCCCCCCTTGAAGGCTGAGCCTCGCCTCGCACTGCGGCGGGCTGTACTCAGGAGGCCAGTGTAATTTTTGGCCTTGTGCTCAGGGGAATCCCATGAGCATGTGCTTGGCATAGTGTGGACTTTAAATGGGGCTGCAGAGCAAAGTGTGTTACCTCAAGGTCGCCTTTGGCAGGAGACTCCGCTGCTCTGCAGCCAAGTGGAGGGAGGGATTGTCAGCCTTGACACTGTTCGTCCCTCGTGTCCCCAGCAGGGGCTGTTGGGGTCCTGTCTGCCCTCGTCTCTTCCCTCTTCTGTCTGAAACTGCAGAGGATAGCTTGTCTGTCCTGCCTCCTCACTCCCTCCAACCAATCAGACAATAATGTTGGCATTTTCTGAGCACCTGTCCCCTGCCAGAGTCTAGACCAGGTGTGTAACTGCATCGTCTCTAACCTTATGAGGTCAGTATTAGTTTCCCCATTTTACGCAGGAGGCAGTCCAGAAAAGCTGAGCTCAGATGCTCAGGAGGGGCAGCAGAAAACACAGCGCAAGGCTGCCTGAGGGTCAGGGCTGAGCTCCAAGCCGGTGTTTTTCCCGGGCCATTGAGGGTGATGGGGACTCACCACCCCCATCAGGTTCCGCATGTGGGGGCTTTAAGCTCTGAGTCCCCTCGATCATAACGGCACCTCGTAGAGTGGCCACAGACACATACTCACCCCTAAAGTGTCACAGATGACAGTCTGGGGGCGCAGGCCGGGCAGCCCAGTGCTTCTCTGCAAGGTGCCCCAGATCCCCAGAGGCAACTGTCCCCTGGCAGGGAGGCCGGAGCACCCCAGCAGGTACAAGTGGGTCCCAACAGAGGATGCGTGTCTGAGTTATTTTGGGGCCACACTGTATCTAGCCAGTACCACGTAGTGTAATTCCTCCCACTCAGCCCAGCAATCAGTTATCCCCACTTGTACACACAGGCCCACCTCGTCTTACTGGGCCTCATTGTGTTGGCTGTGCAGAGACTGTGGTTTGACAAATTGAAGATTTGTGGCAACCCTGCATCCAGCAACTTTGTCACCTGTTTTCTCCAACAGCATTTGCTCACTTCTGTTTTGCAGCATTTGTAATGTTTTCATTATTTCTGTTTGTTAAGGTGGACTGTGATCTGTGGTTAAGACTTGCTGAAAGAGTAAATGATGGTCACCTCTTTTTTAGTATAAACATAACTTTTATACTCACTGGGAAGCCAAAAATTCATTTGACTCGTGTTATTGCAATGTTTGTTTTCTCGCAGTGGTCTGGAACAGACTGTGTCACCCAAGTATGCCTGTACAGCAGTTTTTCCTTGGCTAAATGTCTCTCAGCCCTGTCTTTGTTTGATTAGTGTAGAGCAGACCAGCAGAACAGCCCGGTGTGACTGCTCTTGCCGTCTCGCTGCCTCGTTCTTGGCACCCCCTAATTGGCACCTTTAGACAGCTACCGATGTGTCAGCTCGGACAGTCCTAGCAGTGAGAATCGTGGGATTCGGTGCATTGATAGGCAGATGGCTTCTTCGGGAAAGCAGTGTGCTTTGGAAACACTAGGGAATCTGCTACGTGAGGCTGTCTGTGGGCTGATGTAATCCAGCCACGTCAGATCACACACAGAGTAAAGGTTCAGAGTAATTGGCTGTTTCTTAGTAGATATTTTGTGTGAGCTTTTCTTCTCGGAACATATGTATGAACGCTGTTGCCACATCCTGAAAAGCGTAAAGGTAGTGTGTTCACACATGTCCAGCCATTGTCACTTTGTCAGGAAGTGGAGTGCAGGGTAGGGACCTTCCGCCCACCACCAGTCCTTTGTCCGTGTGCACCCCAGCACAGGGTGCATTCAGGACGCTGGGTGAGTGCTCGTTGCGTGCCCCAACAGGTCGTGGGCAGCATGGACGCCCACCCCAATCGCTACTGCGCCACCGTGCGGGTCCAGCAACACCGGCAGGAGATCATTCAGGACCTGGCCACCATGGTCCGCGAGCTCCTCATCCAGTTCTACAAGTCCACGCGCTTCAAGCCCACCCGCATCATCTTCTACCGTGACGGCGTCTCGGAGGGGCAGTTCCAGCAGGTCGGCCACCCTGTGGGTTTCTCTTTGCTCTGCAGTTTCACCTGTTGGCTGGGCAGGCTGGCCTCGCCGTTCTCTAATGAAAGGAATGTGGTTTAGGTTCTGCCCCGAGGTTTATGTGCTCACAGTGCAGGGATTGTCAGGATCCTGAGTCAGGCCCACAGTGCGGAGGCAGGCGGGTGCAGTGGGGAGTCGGGGGGGCCCACTTGGGGCCTGGAGGGTGGTGGGGAGGCCCACCTTGAGCCTTTGCCCTGTGGGCTGCATGGGCCAGGGACGCCGTTTAGTCTGGAGGTTGCCTGTGTCTGCAGTGTGAAGAGCAGGCTGGAGGGTGGTGATGGCAGAGGTGCAGAGCCAGGAGGGGTGGGGTGGCCCCCTCTCAAAGGGAGTTGTGGGGGGAGTGGTGGCATCCTGGTGACGTGTGGGACTCGGGTGCGGGCGGCAGCTGCCAGGCAGGGGTGCCCCGGCGGCTGGGCGCTGTGGAGGTGGTGCCAGTGAGGGGAGGCTGTGTGCCATGCCCTGTCTGAAGGATGGCCTGGGTCCGCAGTTACTCCACCCTTGCTGGAACTTGGAGACAGAGGTCCTGAGCGTGTGTCCACGTGCTCCTGGCTTACTCCACCTCTGTTCCCACCACGTCTCCAGCTTGTGCTTCACGGGGAGCTCACGGCGGGGAAGGCGGAGGGAAGATGTGGACCTGTGTGTGAGCTCCATGGGTGCGGTCCGTGCGTTTCCAAGGCCCTGGCTGCCTTGATAACTCAGGCCGCACAGCACACAGGGAAATGGGACTGCCTTCCTGGTCCAGAGGAGAGTGGTGGCCTGCCGCCCTGAGGCCCACAGTTAGGGGCCAGCTGGCAGCTCTCAGCCGGGGCCTCTCAGGGGGCCTGGGCTGGTGGCTCCCATGCCAGCCCCTGAGGATCCGGGGCCCAGGGTGGCCAGCTGCCCTCAGCGCACCTGTCCTATGTCGCCTCCCGGGGTCCTGTGGTGGGAGCTGGTCTCCCCTCTCCGAGCTGCTGCCTTCTCTGCTCCGGGGGCCCTGTGGACATATACCCCATGTCTCACACAATCACCACAGCTGGGGTTGCTAAACCCTGAACCCAAGACATGTTCTTGACTCATCAGAACATGCATTTGTCAGGGCAACGCCAGGACTAGGTGCGTGGCCCTGCGCCGGCCTCCGCCTCCGGCCGCAGGTCCCCGCCTGGCGCCCTGGCCCCCAGGGCCCGTGTGCTCGGTGCTCTGCACATCGGCCGCTTCGGTCCTCACAGCGAGCCTGCAAGGTGGGTAGCACTATTTTAAAAGTGAGGAAACTGGGGTCAGGCTGCGTGGCTTTCCCAAAGCCACAGAGCCAAGGCTGGACCCAGGTCTGGCTCCCATGCTGGGGTTTGCTTGCCAGCCCCCCTCTTTCCTCACCAGCACAGCGAGCACGCTGCCGATGGACTGGTGCGTGTGCTTCTCTCGTGGCGCCTTGCTCTCCTGTGTGTGCTAGGGGCCATTTGTCAAGTGCTTAGAAGGTTCCAGTTACTCGGCTAAGTTTTATGTATAGTGTAAACCATTTAACCACGAAACCTGGGTATCATTTATTGAATTACATAAGTGAAGAAATAGGCTGAGAAAGGCACAGTCACACAGCTGATCAGTCACCAGCTAGTGGGACCAGAGGCTTAACTACACGTTTGTCGAGCATTATGTATTATTAAGGGATTTATTTTAAGTAGCAAGAGGCCTTAAAACCTCACCACCTTTGATGTGTTCATTCTTTCCCCTCAGGTTCTGCACCATGAGTTGCTGGCCATCCGCGAGGCATGTATCAAGCTAGAAAAAGACTACCAGCCAGGGATCACCTTCATAGTGGTTCAGAAGAGGCACCACACGCGGCTCTTCTGCACCGACAAGAATGAGCGGGTGAGTGTCCTCGGCCCAAAGAGTGGCCCCCGCCCTGAGCCCCGTCGTGGGGCCCTGGGCGGATGGCATCGCTGTCCCTGGTCCTTGGGGGTCCGGGCCTCAGAGGCGCTTTGTGGGAACCAAGCCTCAGGCTTTGGAGAAGGGCTGTCAGTTTGCCGAGCAGTTTGGACCTGTAAATCCCACAGCCTGCTGCGTGTCCAGGCAGGAGATGTTATTTATTAAAAAATTGATGAAGAAATAACCAAAGGCTCTGAAAAAGAACCAGTTAGCAACCTTGGCAATGGGCGGTATAATTGTAAAGAATATGGCAAAATGGAGTTAACTGGGGACCCTCAGGGGAGGTTGGAATGCTGGAAGGTGGTTCTGGGCAGCTCCTTCAGGGGTCTGGGGAGGAGTTAGGACCCTCTGACATCTCCTGGGTGTTTGAGAATAAGGAAAAGAGCATGAGTGGAAAGCAGGACCTGTAGATAAAGCTGCGGAGATTCCCCACAGCTCAAGAAAGAGAGATCCTCGGGTTACAGGTGTTTTCCATGTTCCCATAAGAATAAATAAAAATAAACCCACACGTAGACACATTGTCCTAAAACTGGACAGCGTCTATGTCACTGCCTAAGGAAAGAGACATTCCCAAAGGGGAGAAATACTAGGCTGGCAGCCAGCAGCCCAAAACAGCCCTAGCAGGGCTGACGGTGGAGGTCGACATCCACACAGCACAGAAGGAAAACTAGCACGGCCGCCTGCAGCCACCATGGTGGTGCCACGACACAGGAAATGCTTATTGTCTAAGTGGGAGACAAAATATAAATTGAGTGTCAATAGTGACAAAAGGGATACTTTGTCACAGTTACAAGAGATGATCCATTGGGAAGTTTTAACAGCTGCGAGTTTGGGTGTACTTAACACTGTGACCTAAAAATGTGTAAAGGAAAGAAAAAGTAAAGCAAAAACTGATAGACTTCCAAAGAGAAATTGACAGATCCACTCACTATCCAGGAGGTGTATTTTCACACACTTACTATCAGAAACTGAAATAGTCACAAAGAAGTAAAGACTGAAAATTGGAGCAGTGAAATGAACAAGCAGTTCTACTAGTCACACAGAGTCCTGCCCGGGACTGTCGACATCACATGGAAGGCTTACGGAGGCTGGCTTCATACCAGGTCACAAAAGAGGTCTCAGGAGATTTCCAAAGCTCAGTATTATAACAACCGTATTTTTTGATCAATATACAACTAACTTTTAAATCAGCAGTGGAAAAAAAAGATTAAGAAAGCTTGAAACTTTAAATTTACTTCAAAACAGCACATGCATTAAACTTGTAAAGAGAATAAAAGTCATAAGGTCACCAGAACCGAGGAGAAACAAGAAAGCCTCATGTCTGACCTTAGGCAGTGCAGCTAAAGCGGTCTAAGGTGTAGATTCAGCTGCATTTGTTATAAAACAAGAAAGAGAGCCATCAAATAAGCCTGAAGACACAGGAAGCATGAACACAGAGAAGCAGCCCCGGGGCCCAGGGAGAGCCGAGGGGCCGGCGCGCTCGACCTCCCCCGCTCCCTGGCCTGCAGACCCCCTCTGCCGGGAGTCACGAGGGCTCAGTCAGCTTATTCCCACATTCCCTCCCCTCCCACAATGGAAAATAATGAGGTAGAAAACGAAGAAGCCGCAGAGCGGATCGAAACAAAGCGGATTCTTTAAAGACAAGAACAGGGAGGGAAAGAAGACACTCGTGACGATATCAGGAGCGAAAATGCAACTGCAGAAGGGATGGACGTTACTTTTGTCATTATGGGATATTAACGACTTTATGCGGATACACTGGTGACACAAAACTGGGGAGAAACAGACACACTCATTTGTAGAATTTCATAAATCACCAAAATCGGCTCAGGAGGAAAATCCAGTCACCATTCCAAAAGGCATGAGACCCAGAGAGTTTCACAGGCAGGCTTTACCATATCTTCAAGAATAGATCATCTTATTAAATGGCAGAGACTAAGAAAAAGGGGAAACTACTTAGCTTCTTTTATGAAGTTTGTCCAGAGATTTTTGTAGGCAAGTTTTATTAAGCTTTCAAAGAATAAACTTAGACAAAGGTGTTTCAAAGAACGGGAAGTATAGTATCAGGTGTTGGCAAGGGTGTGGGTGCTGTGCCAGGACCTAGTGCCAGACAGCCTGGTCCCATGCCAGCCCTGGGCCACATGACCACAAGCTGCCAGCCTCCCTGACTCCCTGTACCACCTTCCTAAGCATATTGAGCTAATACACAAAGTCCTTGGCACCCAGTAAACGCATTGATATGAAGAGGACTCTCACTTTCAATGGGTGCAGAAACTGATAACCGACTTGGAACATGGCTTGGCAGCTCTAGAGATCTATTCTGGAGAAACCCATACGCCTCTGTACCAGGAGACATGTATCAGAATTTTTACTGCAGCACTGTGTTCTAACAGCGAAAATTTGCCCTAACTACCTGCTGACAGGAACAAATGTTGTGATGTATTAATAAGCTATACCAAGTGAATCTATCTTAAGATTGTAATATTCAGTAAAAATAGTGAGTATGTGTGCTGCATATAAACCATTGTTTAAGATCTGCAGAATAGCACAGTATAAATGCTAATAGAGGCTTTGATATGTGTGGGAAAGTATGTGTAGGAATAATAAAATCTAAATTTGAGACTGCAGAATGGAAGGGATACAAAGGGAGGCACTGTTTTTGAGTATTTTACCTCATTTTAAATGAGGGTGTGGAAAAATGCATCTGAAGGAGCACAGGGGTACATATATTTGAAATGTTGCAGAACTAAAAAAACTCTGACTTTGTGACTGATGGGGAGCAGGGTTCTAGGAAGGGGGCTGCTGTTCCAGTGGCAGTGGCTGGGTGTTCAGTGGCCTTGGGGTCCTAGAGGGTAAACACAGACTTAGGTTTGGTATGACTAGCATTACATCCCGCACACCGCAGCTTCCTGCTGGTCTCTGACAGGGCGGCCTGCCCCTTGGCTCATGGTAATCAAGCCGTCAGCAAAGTGCTTTTCTAGCTCTCGGCCTGAACATCTCGTGCGCTTGAATGATGGCCTGTCCAGTGCCTGTCGCCCATCGTCTTAGATTCGTGTGTTGGTGACAGTTTCTGTCTTGACCTCAACAACAACAAAGAGCCCTCCAGGGTCACACGTGAATTCTTCAGTGAAGGGAAGGCCCTCGGGGGCCTTGATGAGACATGTGAAAACCAACCTGGTCCAAATAGAACCGGAACTCACCTAAGTTCAGCAGTTAGCATTTCTTACATTTTACTGTAATACTATAGTGCTGAGTAATGTATTAGCTGATTTAAAAACTTGAGAGTCAGCCAGAAGCTGGCATGGGTGGGTCTTGCTCTATGGCTGCTTTGCTGTGCCACGTGCGTGTCTAATGGCTTCCTGTTGTTGCTGAAGGTTGGGAAAAGTGGAAACATTCCAGCAGGCACCACCGTGGACACGAAAATCACCCACCCAACTGAGTTTGACTTCTACCTGTGTAGTCACGCTGGCATCCAGGTGAGGATGAAGGGCTCCCTTGGGCAGAGCCCCAGCGTCTCTGAATTGTCAGGTACACGGTCAGCAGACACCTGGAGAGCCGGGAACTCACGCCAAGCCCCTGGAACATGTGGGGCTCCAGCTCATCCCAAGGGGAGCTGGGCACTCGGCCAGTGACCAGATGAGGCCCGGGACATCAGGTGTGGGGGATGGAGGGCCACTGGGGTGCTGGTGGGGGCTCGCACTTCAGATGAGGTGGGCCCGGGCAGGAGGAGCGAGTGCAGAGGCCAGCGTGCTGGTAGGCATAGGGGTGTCCTGTGTGGCTGACTCTAGCAAGCTAGGTGACATCTGAGCTGACGGGGCACCCAGGCTGCTGGGGGAGGCGGGGCAGGGGCTGTCTTGGTGTGGCCTGCGCCACTGGTGGGTCGGCCTTGCTCCTCTCCATTGTCAGAGCTGATCCGCCAGGATCTGCAAAGCCCAGCCCACTGGGCCAGGAGGAACTGAGTTCTGGGGGCCGTCCCTGCTTCAGAGAGCTTCGTCATAGACGGGCTTTTGGTTTTTCCACAGTGCAGGTGAGGATGTAAATATCCCTCCCCAAAAGACATGAACCTGGAATTTGAGAATGTGCTATCAGCTTCGTACTTGTAATACTCCCTGGGAAGTGTGGGAACTTCCACACCATTTACGTTACCTTGGATCTGGAACAGGGCTTTGGCAAACTCTGGCCTGTCTTGGGACTGAGAATGGTTTTCTGCACGTTTAAAGGGTGATTAGAAAGAGAAAGGGTAGGTTTTGGAGAGACCGGTGGCCCACCATCTGTAAGCCTCAGCAGCCCAGTGCAGTTGGAGGCTTTGTGCTCGGGAGCTCTTTCCCTCCCCGGGCTTCCCTTCCAGGGCTGGAGCCCTCACCTCCCGGGCACTTGCTGGTTGGGGAATCTCTGGTGAGGTGCGTGGACCTGGGCCGCACCTGCTCTGCCGTCATCACGGGCTCAGCAGACCCTCGTCCCCAGGGTACTGGGTTGCTCACGGGCCCTGGGGATGACCCGAAGCAGGGTACTAGAACGTGTGAGTAGTTAGTCCTAGGGCAAGAGCGTCTGCCACTTGCCGAGCACTGAGAGCCCTCACACGGACAGTGGTAACTGGGTTGGAAGATTCCAGAGGGATCGTGCGGGCTGGCATGGGCAGAGCAGCAGGCGGGCAGGCAGGCAGAGAAGCCACCAGAAGACCCGCCGTGGGCCTGCTCTGCACTGTCGGCGCTGGGTGCCCCGGGCAGAGCAGTGCAGCAGGTGGTGCTCTGAGAGCCATTAGGACTCGGTGCTGTTGGGGGCAGCACAGTGACCACTACCGGATCTTCAGTTTCCATAGATTTCAGACTATGCAAACTGCGTAAAACAACACACCAGGTCAGACTCCTCTTTTAAGTGTTATTGTTAATATGTAGCTTTTATTAAGAGATTTTTTTCTTGCCTTTATAAGTAAAATAGTATAGAAAACTAGCATGTACAAAAACACTGTCCTCACAACCACCGTTTGTATGTTTTACGTCTTTCCTGTGATTTCCCTGTGTGTAAACAGGTATGTGTATAGTGTATATAGCACCAGCAGGGGGTCCTGATGTATGCAGTTCTGATGCCTTTTCATAGTAAAGTGTGATGATCTCATGAGTCCTTAGGCTGTCACACATCCTCCCACTGTCTGGGAGGAGCTGGTGGGCCACCATGCACATTTGCAGGTGAGTCGTGGACTTCTGTGTGTCACCCCTCTGACCCTCTGGTCTGCTTTTAGGGGACAAGCAGGCCTTCCCACTATCACGTGCTTTGGGATGACAATCGTTTCTCTTCCGATGAGCTGCAGATCCTCACCTACCAGCTGTGTCACACCTATGTGCGTTGCACACGCTCCGTGTCCATCCCAGCACCAGCATACTATGCTCACCTGGTGGCCTTCCGGGCCAGGTACCACCTGGTGGATAAAGAACACGATAGGTGAGTGGCATGCCTTTCCTGGCTTTAGGTCACATTGGGGGTCATTTCTGAAACCCCAGCATGGGAAGCAGTTGGGTCACAGTGGCTGGAGCGAACTGTGACATGGAAACCCCAAATGCCAGCGTCTCCCCCACCACTTGGTAGCTGTGTGGCTGCCTCCCCAGATGTCTTGTGCATGGTCCTAATTAGTTATCAGGTGCATTAAAGGCTGCACTTCCTCTTTCTTCCTCTCCCTGTATTCCTGCAGTGCTGAAGGAAGCCATACCTCCGGGCAGAGTAATGGGCGAGACCATCAGGCACTGGCAAAGGCGGTCCAGGTTCATCAGGACACGCTGCGCACCATGTACTTTGCTTGACATGTTTCAGTGTTTACGATCGTGTACCAAGTTGGATTCACATGAGACCAGCTACACTCAGACCAACAGTTGCCCAGCCCTCCCGTGACAGCCAGCATTGAACACGAGATGTCATTGATTCTAGCAGATTCTCCATTTTCCAGAATGCCTTCCGTCCCAGATTTCAAACTTGGATTTTGAGCTGCAGACCTGTATGAGACCCCACTGTCGTAGGAAATATGGTTTGCCAAAATCTATAAGCTGCTTATTAAAATAGAGTCCCCTGTTTCCTAAAAATCTCCTAAAACCAGTCTATGAACTCAGGGCTTTAAAACATTTTTAATTTATTTGGTCACTCGATTTCCTTGTTTTTAACACAAGAGTCTATATGAAATTGATGGGCTCGAACTAGTTGTGAACGTTCTCTGAGAGCAAAAGCAACACAAACACGATTGTGGTTTTAAAGCCTTGAACATTCTGATGTTGTCACTAAAGTTTATTTCAAAGGGATACTAATGTGCTCCTGGCTTGGTTCACACCGGGACCCGAGGGCAGGGGCCGTGCCAAGGTGCCCACGGGTGTCTGTGTCTTTTTCTGCCACTGCCCGCCTTTCACTCAGCTCAAAATAAGGAGCAGTGGCAGGAAATGGGCCATGTGTGTTTACGACATTGGTAGGTCCAGAGAGATTGGCAGACAAGTGCCATTTTAATAAAAATTTATTTAAAAAAAGAAAAAAGACAATATGCCGACAGTCTAATCATAAGATTTGTCCTATAGGACTGTGACATTTATTTTCCAAAGTTTCTAAAGAATACGGGTCTGTGGTGATAAATACAGTACAATCCTTTTTCACTGTTATGTCTTTAATGTAAAAGAAAAAATATATATATCTGGTTTGCAGTATTAATGTGATAGGTAGATGCTGTTTTTCATTTTTCATTTGATTGACTACGGGGTGCTTATTGTGATCTGTTCAGCATATCAAGAGTGTTGCGGAGTCTGGAGGCCGGGCCACCTCTGTGGTCCTCAGTGCTTACGGACAGGAGTATGCAAATGACTCGTGTGACCGCAGCCCGCCCCCCTCGCGTGATTGTGTACCCTGCCCTCAGGAGGACCGCGCGCCCTCCCTGCCTCCTCCCTGTGTGTTGCTCGGCCGATTAAGCACAAGTGGAATGTATTTATTCTTCCATTCCTGGGAAACAAGTCCATGTATCAGAGTGCAGTTCTCTCTGTGTGTGGGTCTGGGATCTATGCACTGAGACGCAGGAAGCCGTTGGCGGTGGCTCTGGCGGGCGCCTGGCCAGCGGTCAGTGACAGCCTTGCCCTCGGGCAGGATGATTGCAAAGCCAGCAGGTGAGGCAGCGCCTTCTGCTAAGATACGCCTTGTGGGCCCAAGACGTGGGTTTGCCAGTCTAGAAACCATTGCACTACGTGTGGCGCGTGGCCGGCTTCGGAAGGGCAGCGGCAACGCCCTCGTCGGCAGTTTACTCGGCTCCGCGGAGAGAATCAGGCGAGCCTTCCCCCAGTGCTGCGCTGCGCCCTGCAGGTGTCCTCGCCCCCTGCCCGCGGCCCTCCCCAGCCCAGCCTGACACTTACCTCTGGCACTGGCACTGCGGTGGCGGGAAGCACCCTCCCCGTCTCGCCTGCGGGCCGAGCTGAGCGTGGCGAGGGCGCGAGTGGAGCGGGAGAGGACTTGCGGCCTGCATTTTGGCAGCAGTGACAAAGGGATGACTATTATTTGTGAAGATATATACTCAAGAGTGATGTGTGCGCGCGTGTGGCGTGTCTGTGTGTGCATGTGGGTGTCGTATTAATGGCATTAGTCTCTTGCTGTATCATTTTTTTTTTTTTTTT